GCTGTCGGACGCGAGTGCGAGTTACAGTTCAATATTTTCTGTAACGCAACCGGTAAGTTACTCATTTGCTTGTCATGTCAGTTGTAAGGTAAAGTATTTTGGAAAGGTAGCGAACATTTAAGTGAGGATTCGAGGGGAAGATAATGTTCTTTCGTGTGTTTCGCAGCACTTTCTTTCCATGAGCCCAACCAGTTGTCAACTGTTGTCCCGACTGGAGACAATTAGTTTCAAAGCGCCCTGATCAATCAACTCAGCAGAATCGTTTTTAGTAGATAACCTTCCTGTTGTGGCTCGCTACTTTTTCTAACGAGGTGAATGGAGCAACGAGGCGAACAAACTGAATTACTATTGAGGTCATAATTTGCCCCGGCAAAGAGGCAAATAAAACATGCGACTTGCTTACCGAGGTGGGCAAACTGAAGTAAGGTTTTCCTGTTCATTTAAAATACTTATTTGTATTGATCTCATGAAGTAAAAAAATGAATACAACAGAAAAGAATATGTACAATTCAGTGACAATTCACTAAATCGAAGATACTTTCGGAAAGTTTTTTTTTTTAAATATGTCTTTATTGTGTATTTGTCAATAACAATCCAAACTGATTTTGGAGTATGCATTTTATATACAACCTTTCATTATACAGCGTTTATTTGAAAAACATACGGATAATATATTAGTGAGATATATTAATGCTAGTTGTTATTGATTAATATATAGATTTAGCCAGGGCTAAAAGCTAGCCTCTCGTTAATAAATTTATTATTTAAATCAAACATTAAAACTTGTATTCCACAATTCAGTTAACTTTAGAGCACATTTATGGGACTTTTGAGGAAAAGGCTACGTGATTTTAGAGAAAAATAATTTGCAAACAGCCCAAGAGTGGACCAAATCTTACATCGAGTTGATAGCCTCATATGTAAACCCAAAAACTGGTAATCATCTTCGATCACATTTAAGAGCCATAATGGCTCTTGATCACCGTAGATTATTAAATTAGGCCTGGAAAAAAAATCAGGCCAAATTTTTTGCGTTCGACATGTTTACTTTGCAAAATCTTGCCAACAAAACTGGGTGCGTGTAAACCAACCTTTTATACCATTTTATACATCACATCTGAGGTGAAACAGTACTATGAGGCACAGTTTTTATCATAAAGACCTCAGGCAGAAAGCAGTATTTCACAATTTTGCAATACAAATTGCACTCATTTATTCAGGACGATGGAAGTACGCGTGGACTTTTAGCAAAATCGCCTATACGGCCATCTGGTTCTCACTTTTGTAGAGCGAGCTGTGGCGAGTGTTTGAATGAACATTAACAGAGTTACGCTCCAACATAATAAAGAATTTATTATGTTTATTTAACGCGCGGCATTTGAGTACTCCAGCAAGCGATGTTCACCGAACGACTGAAAACAATCGGCGCAGCGATTAAAATTACAAGACAGAGGACTAACAATCAATAAAAGAAATATAATTCGGTGAAACATATACAGCGACCACAATTTTCATTCAGGAAGACAAGTATTAAAGTGTCTCTAAAAATCCTAAGTCTTCAAGCTTAAAGCTTAAGGTTATGTTTTAAGCCGGCTTCCCGGTGTTTGCTTTTTTCAAAGACGAACTCGAGGCAAGAAAATCGCTCAAAGCTTTCTTTTACAGCCAGAATTATAACTAAATATTCGTTGGAACGTTTTCTTTCTATTTGCGGTGAGAAACTATCTAAAGGCTTTTTAAAGTTCTGTAAGCATATATCAAACCTGATACTTGGTCAGATCATTGTCTAAAATCTTACAAACGTGTATAAACTAAATACCCGCATAAACTATGCTCTACTTCATTAAATTAGATACAAAAAACAAACATCAAATACAATAATTACTCTGGCTTACCATTCGAGGTGCAGCTCCTGAAAGGTATCAAGTAAGGCTAGTATCGCTTCAGGCTTTGCAACCCTCTTACGCATCAAGCAAGGTGAAAAAGAAAACGATGCCATCCGAAATTGGATTTCCGACTTTGACAAGCGACGTTTTTCTCTACCAAAAACCCAATAAACAAACTAGCCATGAATAACAGAAGACTCCTGATAGCAGCTGAATTTCATTTTTTACATCCAGTGGAAAAAGACAGTTAAAAACATCACAAGTTGACACAAAACTCTGTTAGCTTCAGCTGTCAAAGTAAACAAGATTCAAGATGCTGCATAAATTTTCCGCATGGACTCACCTGTCAAATTTTGACCAATCAGAGCATAAAAATTGGACGTAGAGCGTGACCAACGCGTGACCATGGTGAGAAAAGTCAAAGGCAACTGTCTTCCCTACCTGTAACAGCTGGCTGAATTTTCGCGTCCGAGGTCAGTTTGAAATCAAAATTTTAATTGTGCAGCACATAAACACAACATATTTCATATGAATTTAAAAAAATGAACTTGAGCCTGCGATCACTTGAAACTAGTAACTTGTCAGCGGATAACTTAAAAAATACTGACTACGATGGGTCGACACCTAAGCCCACGATACGAGTGATACTGGAAAGCGGGTACCCTATTTTGACAGCTGTTAATTGACCAAAACATTGTTGTCCAATATGTGTGTTTTCCGATGCTCCCAAATTAGATAAAAAGTATGAGATTGAACATTGTTCGCGATCTAGTAAAACAATTAACTGATCCGCGATATGGTCATGGGATACTGGTCAGTGGCTGCCTCGTACCCAGACGTCTCTCTTTAAAACGTGCGCGCAAAGGAAGGCGGGAAGGAGACAACGGGCGAGACGTCTGCAGATCTTGTTTTCAAGATGGCGGGAAGAGTAATGGCGGACGAATATGTAATTTTTAAATAAGTTCACCCCTGTTCATTTTACGAATTTTGAGCAAACCATTGCCTATCCACGTTGTGTGTATGAAGAGGAAGCTGTTTTCACCCCACACAGTGGACTCAAGTATCATAAAGTTTACTACCGAACTACATAATGTTTACTACCGAACTTGAAATACTTTACTAGCCGCGGACGGGGCAGTACTGCCTTTAGTTTTAATGAAATTCCGCACGCCAAGGTAACAGCCGGTCAGGAAAGTTAGTAAGGTAGTAATCGTTTCTGTTAAGGACCCTAGTGATGAAACGATCTCTTCAGCCGAAGTGAAAACATGATGGCGAGCTGAGAATTGTTGCAACAGCCAAATGAAGCCCAATATTTTGTAAAGCTTTATAACTATTTGCTGCACGCTGCATCTTGAGGACTAGAAAAGGCAACAAACCAGTCTGACTAGTCTCAAGACGTCTAAGTTATGTTATGAAATAGATAATAAATCTGTTAAATTTTTGTCTCAGGATTTCGCATTGTGTATCATTTGCTCGACAATGTAAGCTTATGTACTTACAGGAAAAACAGCCACAAAACTAGCTCTAGGTTTTTTTTACATTTTTTTTTGCATTTTTTATTGTTCGATTACCTCACTGGGTACTAAACATGTCACTGAATGCACAGCCCGGTGTAAATAAATCCTACTTACTCTTTATTTATATGCCTGGTCTGTATTGTTTTTTATTTGTTTTTGTGATATTACACAGTAGACCAATTTAGTTTTGCCATGCTCTTTTATAACACATCATTTGTGTCTTAAATTATTGGTAACTTTGATTTTTAGTTGATAGACAATTTTTTACCCTAATGGAAGAGGGCGATGTGGTTGATGAGACACCATGGTAACTCTACCATTTAGCCAGGCAGGAGACATTGCCCAAGACACTTTTTTTAAAAAATAATTGTTTGAATATTTCAAATTTCATGGCAAACAAGATGCTGTGAATGCCATTTTAGAGAATAATGATTGCATTTTCCTAATGTCAACTGGTGGTAGGAAAGACTGGGTACTATGAAGTTCTTGGGATCATTCTACCCATATTCAACATTGTTGTTCCTGTGATTGCTTATACATGATTCCTTTCTTGGCAAACCTGTGGTAGCATAAAATTCCCCACACAAGTCTTCTGAAGGGGTAGTTTTTGACCTGCTTTGGAGTTGCAGAGGAATACAAGATCATATTATAATTATCAATGGATCCAGAATTGCCAAATGCAAAAAACATTACCCTTCAGGACCGTCCGCGCGCGGATCGCTGTAGCGTTAGTTGTTTTTATAAAAACCCATATAAACCATATATTTTTTAAAAGCTTAATAATTCCAGATTATGGATTTGAACTAACAAAAACGGTTTACTCAAATGTGTTTCGAAATTGGAACGCTTTGTGTAAACGTACACGTCTCCATAAATCATGTTCCACTCCGGCCGGAAATAAACGGAAGAAAACAATTAACACCGCATTTGCTTCTCAACATGTTCCACTAAAAAACCGTGTCTCAGATTTTTGACAAGTGCGTTTGTTTTTCTTTTATTAGCAAATGAAGTTGGGGAAGGCAATTAGTCAACACTCCCTGTGGAAAAAAAGCTCTGGCTTTAAAATGAAAAGGAGTATTAAAATTCGCAGACACAGTTTTGTAGAAGAGATATATGGCATCACTCTGGCCAAATTTTAGCCAAATTGATTGAAAGGCTGCCGACTTGGAGTTCAAAACGTACGAGTCGATCGGCAAAAAATTTGCGTTCGGAGATAAAAAAGAAAATACATTTTTGGCGGCATCCCACCTGGAATGAGATTATAACACCTAAATGTTTATTCTGATTGATATCAGAGAGGGATCAATTTTCTGTAACAATAGGACTTTGACAGGTAACATGTAACAGGAAAACTTCCAGTCTTTTACAACACGAGAAGCACGGTTTAATTCTTTCTCGAGCAAAAGTTTTGCCTCTCCTTCGATCTTTTTTGTATGATTTGTTGATCGGCGCCAGGCTAAGGAAACTAAAAAATTTTGAAGCCGCCGAATGTCCACCACCGATTGCTCGAAGGCCAAGAACTGAGGTCCGGTTTATTTCAAACGCTCTGCTCTTCTCAGAAGAATTAAAAACTGAATTTGTCTTGTGCGACGGACAGCTTTCATTCTCGCGCTGGATTCTCCAGGTAGAAAAGTCCATGCTTAGTCGCTACATTTTCCATGACTTGGACTCTTCCCCGGCAAAATCGACAAGATACAGACTCGTCCAGTTTCTCAAGCAGCTTTTCTCTCGATACGATAGCCCGACCGCTTATTGTTTTCCACGTTCCATCAGCAGATGGGGTCGATGAGCTTAATTGGCTTTCTTCATCTGGCTCTTCAAGCTGGATTTTGGAGCGGCTTGCACTCTCAGCAACTGCAGCATTTTCGCTTTTCTGAATATCCAACTCCTCGAGCCACTTCTCTTGCTGATAAAATTTTGCGGCCCATTCAATTTCTTTTTCGCTCTCGGTTTCGATGACGAAAACGGACACGACCTTTTCTTTTTTCTTGGCGGCATTTTCACCGAAGCAAACGCTAAATATCCACGGAGAATACTAAAGGCTACAAACAACGCGAAGACAATTCGCACGTGTTGTGTCCAATCACGCACGCGGAATCACGTTACTAGTTCACAGGCAAGTTAATTGATATGACACGGGTATGACAGATCTTGTCAACGATCAATTAAGATCTTTCGACAGAAATAATATTTTCTTCTGATTTTTTTTTTTGAAAGAAAGCTCTCAAGCATATCTACACTCTTTTTTTTTTTATAAGAATATATTTTATAAGAATATCGAGGCTGAAATTTGCGAAATTTTAAGAATATTTTAAGAATAAAGCCGAGGCTGAGATTTTGAAAAGGGTAGATATAATTTTGTGTGTTGAAACATCTGTAAATACAATTCAATTTTATGTTTTTAACTTAACCGTATAAAAGTATTCCTTTCTCTGAACGGCGAAACTAGCCAAGAAAACGAAAAAACCTGCACTAGCTATAGCAAAATGTTCAACGCTAATGACAGTTCGATGAACGGTACATGTATTACATATACATATACCCCTATAAATTCTAAAACGGAAATGTCATAAGCTATAATTTAAGAATAATACAAGAATATTCTCGGCCTAAAATGGGCAGAAAAATAAGAATATTCAGCCTGGGCCGGAAAAACAACATTCTTATAAAAAAAAAAAAGAGTGTATTTGAAAACGTTGAAACCTCAAATATGGAAAAATGGCAATTTTAAGGGTGGCTGATACCTTAAGATAAGTATAGATGGTTTAACTACAAAATTATAACCAAGATACAAGCATCGAATGGAAAGAACAGGAAAAACAGGCCCCTGGACAAACTGGAAGAATATGCAGTAAAAAACACTACACCACACTATTAGTAGGCTGATGTCAGGTCCATTAACAGTGTCAAGCAGTGAAGAATGCCAGCTGTTTTAAGTATGGACCAGAAGCTCAGCCGTGCAAAACCCTCACCCCTTTCCATTGCTTCCATCTCACCCAGAGAAATAGAAAATATTGCTCCTATTCCTTAAATTAGTGTCACTGGACATTGAAATGATGTATACTTTATGAACTTCTGCCAGGATTATAGAACTGAGATTTGCTCAGGTCATTGAACTATGGTCAGCAAAAGAGAAAACCTGCACCCCTAATCAAACTTAAACTCGATCTAGCTGTCTTGCCCAAAGTAATAAAATACTTTGCTCCAGCTATAATTCCTTCGTTTTGGACAATGAAAATTGGGTTGATGTGTGCTTTTTGAACTAATACTGTGGCAAAAGAATGTGTACAGTTACATGGGCTACTGAGATTATTGAATGGGCATGTTGTCATTGAACTGACTTTTGTTAAAAAAGGTTTAAGCCCGTTCCCCTTCTTTTACATTTGTGTGTCCCAATAAAGTTACATTGAGACTATACACCTGGAGTTTGAGTGAGATGTAGTAGTGTGGTCATCGAATCATTGTGTTTTAACTGAACAAAATACTTTATTCAACCTTCATTCAAACATTTTTAGTCTTGCAAGAGGGGTGCCATCATACCAGACATCTAGCTAAATAAAATTAGTAGTGTAACAATTAATCAAATTCTCGATTAATTGTGATTATGACCGTTCAGTTCAATTCAGGATTGTTTGCTTCCATGTTTCGAGTTTGGTTCGACTTTTGCACACCTTTTCCTGGGTGCCCTTAGTGAGTTATTTTATTCTAAAATAATAACCCAGAACTCTTTAATGTGCGTTTTTGATTGATGAGCAAAGACGATAGTAGTTCGTGTGCCATTTTCTGTTGCCTGGTAAAAATGTTGTCCTGCAACCTCCCCTTGAGAATTTCCAAATAAGGCAATTAACCATGTGCGACATACTCTTTGTCAGGTTCTGAAAGATGGTGACGAACCAAGCGACAGTGATTCGTCCTGTCCCTGATACTATTCTTATGTTAAGGGTTTAGTGTTGCATGCTGTTTACATTACGCATTATGTATAAGAATTAAGAAACATTTACATAATCGAAATCATCGAAATCAAAAGGCAATAATCGAAATCGCATCGCAAGGAATATGAATCGTTACACCCGTAAATAAAATGAAATAAAGTTAAAACTAATGATAGCAATAACAAATCTCCTACAAAAGATAAAATCGATAAAAATATTATGGCATTAATTATTGTACAATATTAAATTATACTAAAAAAATTAAGCTAGAAAAGACTGCCTTTATAGCTGGAGATTTTTGTCTCCCTTAGCCTGCGTAGCAGGCGCTTGGAAGTAGTGGGCACAAGAAAAAACGGGCGCGCGAGAAGGAGACACGCGAGGGGAAAGGAAGCGCCTGCACGGAAGGTCCCCGAAAATCGTTTCCCGCCCCCTCTCTAATTACTTGGCAGCCGTTGCGTGATCTGTCAAAAGGTTTGACAGAAAACGACTGACCTCGCACAAACAAAGCAAGCCGCCAAAAAGCGTTGTACATTTTATCTTCGGTCTAAATATATCTGTTATAAAGATCAGCTGGGTTATCTGATTATAGAGCGATGGAGCAATAAACTGATGGTTAACACACAGCTTTAAATCGTTTTTAACCATGGGCACAATAAATAGGAAATAACAAAGTCAAAACTGTATCTTTTAAAGAATGCATGCTGTGTATTATAAAAACTAAAAATATTGTTCTGGTCAGACACCAACGATCACAGCGTACGTGGAAAATGACCATATTGCTTTTACTGCGCTAACTGGCAGCCGTTTTTGGAGCAGACATGTCTTACTAAGCGGACCTAAACCTCAGAACACAAACTGTACCGACATGTTTTCTACTGCAGTAATGAGACATAAACAACAGACCTCAGGTCGCCTCCGAACGGCGAATAATACTATAGTGAAATGTTTTTTTCAAATTCATGCCCCTGGTAAGTGTTTCATTTCATCAATCATGTCCAAGTTTTGATGGTATACGTTCCATCGACAGAACCAGCCGCCAAGTTCTCCTAAGCAAAGAATATTTCCTCTGATCTTCATTGCAACGATTCGACAAATCTTTTGTCTCTCGCCTCTTCTGCTGATGCGTATCCGATGTCAATTCTTTCCATCGTGAATATCGTTTGAACACTCCAACTTTTCTTTGAGATTACAACCACATAGTCCCATTAAACCAGATTGAAGTGACCTCCGAGACCTGAACTTCGATTGTATACAATTTAGTGGTTTCAGGACCCAGTGGTGTAATGCAAGATCTTCACTACATTGTCCATGTACTATTGATTGACAGTTTTCTCGCCCCGCGCGGTTAATTTTTCCCTCGGGACCCTCTCGACCAAGTGGAAATATCCGCACTCACAGAGTGCGAGTTGAAACGATTTTCGGGGGCCTTCCGTGCAGGCGCTCCCTCACCCCTTGCGTGTCTCCCTCGCGCGCGCCCGTTCTCTCTTTCGCCCGCTACTTCCAAGCGCCTGCTACGCAGGCTATGTCTCCCTCATCAAGATTGACAGAGGTAGTCCAAAATGATGGATTGATCAATGCTGGCACCTTCCTTCTCTTCAACCCCTTCCCTGATCCGCAAATAAAGTTCATTACTTATCTCTCGACAATATAGGGATCTTATACCTAGAGTCAGGTAATTGTAAGCTTCAACAAGTTATGCATTTTTATTTATTTTGTCAAAAGCATCAACTTAAATGTATTCATCTGTCCCTGGTTTCATAGTTAGTAACGTCGCAGACTTAAATCTTGGTGTAAGGACATAATGTGGTCTTGATAATCAACTCCTGACCTTGCACAATCTAGCTAGGCCTTGCAGTTCTTTCAGTTCACAAGGTTACTTGCTCGTTGTTCGGTGGATTTGACCTAAGAGAGCGAAAAATAGAAACATGGTCGCCTGCGCTGTACTTTACTAATCCATATTCTGCAATAAACGACAAGTTAAATACTAAAATATAAGACTTACCCGATACCGTCAAGTCATCAAATAATTTGTTAGAGGTCTTCGATTCGTAAGAATCCGACTCCTTTGCAGCCTGTCGATTATTTCTACTTCAGGTTTTGGAAATTTTGAGCCATTCACTTATCTACTCAATGTTTACAATGTTCACAACAATATGCTACTAAAATTGATCGCTTCCCAGACTTAAAAAGACCAAAAATTGGGCCGTGCCAAGAAAAGGACTTTTTTGCCAAGTAAACGACACAAGATCTGGCAGGCGCTTCGCCCGCCGTCTGTACCCTTCCCATGGTCCCTTGCGGTTCATCACCAGTCACTCGTTTCGCGCACACCTCTGCCATGCGAAAAACGAGGCGCCTGAGGAGGAGGCTGGGTCAGTGGCTATCCCGTTTTGACAGCTGTCAATTGACCATATTGTGAATGTCCTATATAAAAGATGTGGACTTGCCAAGACACGCCTGAGACACCCCTCCCTTCCTTTTGATAGTCTCCCCTACCCCACCCATACAATCTGTAGACCCGTACGTACGTACGTACGTAACAGGGCGTAAGAAGCTAGGGCGTTGAAACGCTCGTACGCGCTCTCTGGTTTAGGAGTGATGCGGAGTAGGGCTGGAACTAGTTCGCCTTTCCGCTCTCGATCCGCTCTCAGGGCAAGAAAAATGGCGCCGTCTAGCTGGAGGTAGGTTCGCATTTATTGCTTCATATCTTTAGATCGCTGCAATCTATAATGAAATTTTATATTTGGCCTATTTCTATGCCATACACAGAAAATATTTAGGTGTTATTTTATAGTTAGTCTAACAAGTTAAGGTGTTTTGTCGCCTTTTATGTTTATGCAGTGTCAAAATGGCCTATCGAATATTACCGGTTGAAGTTTGTTTGTGCATGCAAATTTTTAGAGTGAACTTTTATGAACCTTTAAGGTTTTTTTACTTCTGAAGTGACGACTTCATTATGGCGATAGCAAGGTTTTTGTTTTGTACGTTGGCGTTTAGCTTGTTAGTAAAATAAAAGATTTCAGTTGCCCAATTTATTTTGTGATTTTTCTTTTTTTTAATATACACTAAGATGGTATAAATTTTTTTTAGTTACAGAACGGCGATCCAAGAAGCTTCTGACTATTTTTAAAGTTCTACTGGAAAATTGCATTCGAATGATCTCGTGTGACAGTCTTTACATAAACAACCACAAATTCTGCTTTACTGCGGTATAAATGTAAAGGTTGTATTGCACCGAAACAGAATGAAGCCTATGGAGAAATTTGCGTTCAAATCCCCATCAAGATTCCACCGTAAATTAAAGTAGTAATAGTTGACACTACAGCTGCCCCCGTTCTGTATATTGTCGGTCAATAGTATTCTTGCTCGCTGTGTAGCTCTTTGAAATATACCGGTTCACAATGAAGATTTTGTCACATATTCCATACAATAGGTGAGATAAATACAGGAAACGCAAGGTTCCATTCACAGTTTCAGGTAGAGTTGCACAGCTTTGATCAAAACATTCTCAGTTTCGAGCATAGTTTATTTTAAACCATAAGAAAAGATTTAATAAGAAGTTGAATTTTTCGCTATTTCTCTTTCACTTTTTACATTCAGTTCATTTCAGTATTTATTTGCCGGAAAGGAAACCTTAGAAATTAAAAGGACGTTTGATTAATTCACACTCGCGCATTCTGATCTTATTTTAAAGTCAGCACAGAATTTGATTGTCGGCGAATTTCTGTAATCGTCAGTCCATCGTTCTGCTAGTGAGAAGCTAGCCGTTGTTCACTCGTCTTGCTTGTTTGAAGCTGAGTCTTATTCCGGTCAAAGAGAGAGAAAGAGTGTCTGGCAAGGTTTCCAAAGAAAGGCTTAACTGCAGAATACCCTGCCACTTATTTGCATGTCATTGAATAAGAATAGCATCTATTGTGTTATGCTTCGTTCTTCAAAGAACGCCGACCAACGAAAACAATGGTGGTACAGAGTGAACTCGTGAACTCGTGTGTGGTAAACTCTCCAAGTGTTTATATATACGGTAATTAAAAATTAGGGTCATGGAATGTCCCTATATTCGTGACGGTTATCATGAACCCATTACCATATATACACAGTTATACGCACCTTATAACTTTTTCTGCTCCTAACGAGTGTCGTTAAAATTTTGGTCCATAACTTTCACTGAAACAATTGCTCCACAAAATGTCAACACGTAACGCAAAAGAGTATTGAAGTATGACTGCACAATAAATGTCACAAAATCTACCTAAGCGGTCCCTTGGGGATGTTCTGTCGTTACGTCATCCTAACCATTTCGTGCTTGCGGGCGCAAACAATAGAAACGTCATCATTACCTAACGATTCCTCGCGGCCCTTGTTCAAGCAAACTGTATGACTGTATATGTCAACTGTAAGTACTTTCCTCAATATATGTGCCAGTTACCAGAGTGCCTCCTCCTGCGGGGGCAACCATAGCATGTGTTTGTTGTTATTATTTTTTGCAGGTTGCAGGACAGTGGTGAGTGCCCGGCCTGAAAAGACTACTAGAACACATAGGAGCACCCAACGACAATTTTCGGGAAAATATCTGTTCGGAAGACGATTTGAGATCTAGAATTTTCGGAACATTTCTTGCTTGCCTGCCTCTCTTAGGATTTTCGAACATCTAAAAAATGGTATAATTGCCTATTTTTAACAGATTTTTACCCTAAAAAATGACCTAGAATTTTCGGGAGCCTTTTTTGTGGCTGACATTTTCGAAAATGTAAGTTTTGATCCCTATAATTTTCGGATCACTAGACTTTCAGCTAGGAAATCCGAACAGATAATACAGATATCTACCGTTTAAATAATAAAATACGTTTAATAATTCTATGTTTAAGTGGTTTTGAACTATATTCTCGTTGGGTGCCCCTGAACACACACTGAAAGATAAACGAGTTCATAAAACCGTGAATATGAACGAAGACCATTGGATTGCAAGTAGAATAAATTAAGACTGTGTAACATTGTATTTTTGTCGTCACAGGCTTAAGTGTGGTGTTGCACAAACTATTGGGACTGGCACAAAATGTCTGTATTAATGGACAGGTGTAACTCTTCTAGAGAGTAAAAGAAAATGACTGAAGAATAGTAGGGACCAGCCTGAGTAGGGACCAACTCGATTTCCTGGAGGTGCATTATCTTTTGGTTCTACTGCTGTACAATAATTCTAGCATTATAACCTCTCTCTTAATATTATATATTGTAGACAAGGAAACAGGAAAGTATTTTTTGAATCAAGTTTGATTAAGCCTGGCTGCAGTTAATGAATTTAACCAAGAATGAAACTGAATAATACTGGACATGAAGTATACAAGTGTGCCAGGGTTGCTGGTAACACTAAAAAGTTTGTTTTTCAATGGTTTATTAGCTGTTACAGGCCATTTGTATTTCATTTGTGCATAATTCTGTATAATTTTCTTGTTTGCAATATAGTTTTGAATTTGTATGTCATATAAATGTTTTATGTTGTGTCTGTAAGATATATATGTAGCAATGTCTGGTTTCAATGTAAGACTAGTGAATGTTTCTGTTAAGTTCCTTAGTATGTCTTGCATGGGTAGTTTTCAGTGACCATTTCAATATATAAAGCTGTTATTATCAAATAAAAATATTTGTTGGGCTACTTATTTGTGTTCTTGCGACCTCTTTGTTAGTTTTTCAAGGGCAGTGAATTATATTTTTTTGACATAGTTATTCTTCATTTCACAGTAGTATTAGTGTACAAGATAAAAAATCTTATAATATTTTAAATTTACCCGAACTTTAGTTTTCACAATCTGTCCAGCTGTAGTGCTCAGTATTGGAGATAGCTCAATAAGGTTTTTAGATTAGAATACTGATGTACTCCAACAAATCCAAACTTTAATAGTGAAAACAGATCATCTGGCCTTGAAACTGGGCAGCAAAAAATAAATGCCATAGCAGATGATGAATTACACAACTTGAAGTAGAGAACCGATAATATTAGTGTAAAAATGATGTTAATGAATTTTAGTCACACATCAAGATATTCAAAGCTAAATATAATAACAAGCTTAATACTAATAAACAACATAACACAACTTCAAAATCGTCCATATTGTATTTTATACAACATAGCCTCCCTTTTGTCTTGTCGCGCAAACCTAGGACAAAAATCTTACAACCTTGAAGACCATGTGTTATCCTAAACTAAGATACAATAGACTATTTACTACCGTTCCAGCCCCTTAATCTTTCTACATGGGGCCGTACTTCACTTCCAATATGGAACCTCCAGTTTATTTTTAATTTCATACCTCCGCGTTTATAAAATTTTCGAAAGTTAATAATAGTCATAGTCAACTTAAGCCGGTTTAGCTTCGGGTTCAGGCGGTTAATATCTCGGCTTTCATATAATATCCGTACGAGTTACACTGGCTTTCTAATGATTCAATGATTGCTTGATTAAACAAAAATCCCAGTACTTCAATATAGCAGTAACTGATGCCATTAAGACTAAATTCACTTTGATACATTGATCACATAATTACTAAAAAACGTAAACTTTAGCATTCAAGCTGGTAGATATAGCAGCACCAACAGGTAATAAACATCAACTAACTAATTAAACCTGCAAAACACGGCTAAGCTACAGCCGTTGCTCTTTAAAACCCAAATTAAAAATCATTGTTTCTTGGTTGTACTGACTAAGGATAAGTCATGTACACATCATATTTGCTTAGTCTCAATGCTAATCTACTAAGCATGTGTTTCTTTCTTAACAACTTCTTGAATAATTGTAATATACCTGCTGTGAGTTGGTTATAAATTTCATCACTAAATCATAAACACATCACGTTGTCTCCTTCAGTGGCCAATTTTTTATTTTGTTTACAGCAACATGTAGACGCAAAACGCAGAAATAAAAAATGCTTAATAAAAAAAAGCAAAAGAAAGCCATGCCTCTGTGAAGTTTCCAGAAGTCACCCATACGAATAACGAGTTTCTCACTTGTAAAAGTACTAGGTGAAGTGCTTGTTTTCAAATAAAATGGAAGACAATGCATTTTATAGGCCGTCACAGCGTCTCCTGTTCAATAATACAACGCGCAAACTCTTGAGACATGCTGTTCAGTAAATTGTTTAAATGCTTTCTTTCCTAAATTTTTAATCACGTCTTTGTTGTTTGATATTTACCTGCCTTTAAGCCTTTTCTCGATTTAAATTTCTCGCCAATGGACCTATTGCATGTCAAGCATTTGTATGAATAATGATCTTTGCACACTTACAATATACATTCCTTGTTGATGCTTAGAGATGGAGGAAAGATGCAAGATTGCAGCTGTAGCGGCAGGTTGTCATGTTTAAAGGGACGAACCAAAAGACAAAAAGTTTAATTCGCAATGATTCGCCTAAGTTGGATATCATGGCTGGTAGTCCTTAACATCGTACAAAACGTTACTCTGGAAAACTCGGAAGAATGCCCAAGTAAGTCATCTTGCACTTCATTCTGAAAACTGCTTTGAATACATTTACAGCAATATTTCTTAACTGATATCAACTTTTAGCATCATTATAATACGCCCGCAATCATTTCTTTAGGAACATGTCAAAGTGCTTTGGGTCTCGAAAATGATTTCATCAAGGACAAGCAACTCTCTGCTTTCTCCGCCTACAACAACGATCCTTCCACCTTCGGCGCTCATCGAGCTCGATTGAATTTAAACACATGGCCCCCAGGTTACAGAGCTGACAAGAAAAGTCTCGAATTAAGTACAGGAAATCCATGGCTTATGGTTGATTTAGGAAGGGAAGTAGTTATCACAGGAATAGCGACTCAGGGATATGGAGATACATTAGTTTCAGAGTGGGTTACTAGTTATCGGCTAATGTATGCTGCGGAGAAACTGGATTCTGATTATTATAGTTTTAGGGACGCAAGTGGCGACGCTCAGGTAATCATGTTGTCTACGTAGTGTTATTCAAGGTAAATAACTTTGAGAATCGGTTTCCCGCCCTCCAGGAAATCTTTGTTTGATGTTGTAGATTCATTTGCCGTGAATTTATGATACGTTGTTTTATCTTGGCCTCCATATTGAAGTTGGTCCTTCGTGATAACTATTTTATTTTCATCTAAGTAAAATTGTGCATTTGTGTGAAAATTACGCGCGTTTGCCGTGAAAATTAGTTTGATACATCATATATTTGGAAGCCATAGAATAAGAGACAAAAGAACCACAGGGAAGCATTCTTTGAGAGTCACTGAGATCGCTATTGTAACCCTTTGACTCTTTGTTTTCCAATGAAACCTATTCAGTCGACTAGCTAAAGAAAATGTAGTCTAACCGAAAAGGCGTTCGATTTCTGATATAAACTGAACTAAAAGGCAATACAACGTTTCTGTCATTCCCCCGCCCGAAAAGAAAAATATGAATATAAAGATCACATAGAATGTACTGTAGATTAGTAATTTTATTGGTGGTTGGGTGTATAGACCAATTTCATCACACCAAGCATTACGCAACAAATGAAGTATGTAAAAAAAACCGTCATCTCAATGACCCAAGGATGTATTAAATAAAAAACTGATCTGTCAACAATGAACATATGGATCAAATACCTCTAAAAATCCGTTCTTTACCAACCATACGTAGCTTATTGATTTACAAGAGTCGATAATTCAATTTTGCAATCAGACATAAAATCGTCACAATTCAGTGGTGAAAATTGCCCCCTATAAAAAACCTGGTTCTCTATGCAGTCATAATTGATATTGTAGGGAATCTGCCGACAACTTAACTTTAATAGTCCCTTATGTAATCTAGAATTGCACAGTTGCGAGCTTACATCTACATGAATTTCCTTTGTCGGCACCTTTTTTTCTTGAATTCAGACATTGAAACCGTTGTCGACTCTTTTGCGTAATTAACTCGGCTACAAAAAGCAGTGTTTCATCCGATATACAATCATCATCCATGACCGAAAGTGGAGAAGAAAAAATCGAGACGCAATCGAGCGTTAAATTCCACTCCTCGACTCTGGCCGAGTGTTCCAAAGCTGGGATATCGAGACTGGGATGATTGTAAGTTTCGTGTCGCGCATATTTATGTACTTTCCGTGCAAATAGAGAGCTTTTAATATTATGAAGCGTCTGTTTAAAACAGATATCGACGGAAACCCTGTTTCAACCTTTTAATTTAGAGTACGACAGCTAGCAAATGATCCACTGTTCTTAAAAAAAGAAATAATAAGCCAAAAGTTATAAATTCAAATGCAGTTAAAATTCAATATGTAAATGTGTTGTCATGCCTCGTGAGGATACTCTAAGGCAATTATTTCATTTATTTAATATAGTTTCTTTTTCGGACGGTGCTAAGATGATTTTTGCTCTTTTTGAGTGTCGTTTTGCGCTTTAAAAAGATCATTACCGCGTCATTATCATAGGTTAGCTTGCTACGTGAACAGAAACATTGAAAATCATATTTCTGTAATACTCGAGGAGCAAGCCCTAAAGATATTTATAAAAATTTTGAATCGATGTTGTCGGTTTCGTAAACATCTTTTCTTGAGATTGTTAGCAGTTTCTTGACTAATCCTAAAAATCTACTTTATTACATCGAAAATTCTCTGTTCTTCATTTCTCTTTTAATGTTGGAAGACATCCCACAGCCTATTTCATTCTCAATCATTCAATCACCCTCTCTTAACACGTTCTTAACAACGCTTTGGTTCAGCTTTTGGAAAGATTATAGTCTTTCTACATGCATCTTACAGGAAGCAAAGAAATACAACCTAAATCTTTGTATCGACCAACAGGAGTGTCTCGTTGTGACGATATTTTAGACTTGTTAAAACACGAAATGCCAGTTGATTATATCGCAAGCATAATCATTGAAATCTACCTCCACGATTTAATTGGGACTTAAAGATTATACGCAGTCATTTACAGTACGTATTTTGTTTAAGAATTGTTAAGGCAAAAGAGTCGACAACTGTTTCAATGTCTGAATTCAAGAAAACGAGGTGCCGACAAAGGTGTAGATGTCAGCTCGAAAATGTGCAATTTTATTTTACAAGTTAAATCGATGGCAGATTCCTTACATATCAGTTTTGACTGCGTATAGCATCCAGTTTTTTAAAAGCCAATCAGTGCCTTTGTGTGATAAGGTCTTTACGTAAATAGG